TATAACTGGTTTATTCCTAAAAATCATAGGATTGAAGGCTTTCAAATCATGTGAAAAACTTCAACGTGAGCAAACATGTGAACAGATTATTGTTATTTATATGACATCTCAGCAACATGTGTGAATATTGTTTTCAAAAGAGCAATGATTCATGGTTTTAGAATTGTCCTCTTTTTTTTTCGACGTTTTCCTTATTTTTGTTTTGTAATCAAATAAGAATAAAAGATTAAGTCTTTCATCTGCAGATTCAAAACTAATGTACTCATGCTAGACTATTATTCACTCTCATTAGAGTGAACCTTGTTTTATCGACATTACGATTCATGAAGAGAATACATTTTTACTACCGTTTCGTAAATGATCAGGTGTAAAAAGTTACGCTAGTTTTCTACTAAATAAACATTTTGTATTATATTTTTCGTTTTTTTCTGGTTAAGGACTAATCTTCTCAGATAGAAAATGCATAATAGGAAACCATCATATCCAATTACAAGCTACACATGAGTTGAGATTCATATTGATGGAATACAAACGGTACGTTATATATTATAAATAGAAACTAATCAATATTTTTATATTTAGGTTCATATCGATAAGATGCAAAGATAGTAAGTTACGTATTACAAATCGAAAAAGAAAATTTTATTCGTTATTTTTAGGTTAATATCAATACGGTAGAAATGGTAAGTTACATCTTACAATTTAGGAATGAATATTTGGTTTTGTTTACTTTCATGTTAAAGTCGATATATATGATAAGTTACATATAATGAATACAAAATTGACATTTTCTTTTTTTTTTATATTAAGATTCATATCAATATGAGAGGAGCGGTGAGTTACACATGACAAATATAAAGTGACTATTTTATGTGTTTTTATCTTTAGGTTCAAATCAATATGATAGAAATAGTAAGTTACAATATAATGAATACAACATTGATATTTTTTTTTTATATGTTAAGATTCATATCACTATGATAGAAATGGTGAGTTACACATGAGAAATTTAAAGTGACTATTTTATTTGTTTTTACTTTTTTATTCAAAGCACTATGATAGAAATGATAAGTTACATTTAACAAATTCGAAATGAATATTTTTTTTTGTTTTTATTTTTAGGTTGATATCGAAATGATAGAAATGGTGAGTTACACATTATGAATACAAATTAATATTTTCTTTTTTTTTAGTTTTAGGTTCATATCGATACAACACAAATGATGGTCGTATGAGAAAAAATTGATTACTGCCATCTTCGTTTTAGTTCTTCTTTTCTCGTCATTCTAAACAGATCGATTTTCGGGACCTTCGATAAAGTTTCTATGATGCCTTTCAAGGTGTCGTAATCTGTCTAGTCGGCTCCAGAGTCCCTAGTTGGCATATTGCCTTTAAAGTTTTCATAAGCACAGAAACCTTTAAGAGTTTCCATGGGTACGTTGTTTTTTTAGTACGTATAGGAAAATCGAAATATCTTGTACTATGGTAACTATACATACACCCACAATCATACCCAAACTATTAAGATTCACATCCAGCCACGCTCACACCCAAGCCGCAAACCAACAGTGGAGCGAAAGCCGCATACTCACATCAACCGTTACCCGTGTAGCCGGTTGTTGAATTATCATGTAATTATAATGTAACAACCGGCTACATGGGTAGGACCCCCACGCTTACTCTTTGCTGAAGACAAAAATTAAACATCTAGTTATTCATTACCCCTCACTCGTTACTCAGTAGAATCAACTGAGTCGTCCAGTCAATAGAAATATTTGGATGTTTTTGAATGACTCAGTTACACATGAAGAATCATGTGCAAATTGGATGCATTATTATTGCAAACGATTCGTACTATAAAAAGAGATGAAAAAAAAACGAATTTTGCTCTGTTCTTTATTCAGGAGAGACGGGCGCAGGATGAATAATTTGACAGGATTAGAAATATTTTCACTATTTTCTCTTTCATTTGTTACCTTGTGACGAAGCATAGTATGAGTTGTTAGTCTTTATTCGTCGTTCGTCGAGTTTGATTACCAATTAAAGCGTATGTTATAACGATAAACATTTGCATTTTTTTTCATAAGAAAAAGAACAGAACGAATCAAATACACATTTCATTACCAGTGATGAAATTGTGCGCAGTTTGATCGACAACATTTTTCAACATCGCATAAAAGAAAGCTGTAGAAAAAATATATCGGTGATAATCAAAACCAATGGAATTGATATCACCGTAGAGAAGTTGTGAAATCTTGCGTTGGTGAAACTGTTAGTATTAATTAATTGCCAGAACTTAGAATCAGCGATGAACGAACTTTTTTTCAGTTCCGATCTTGTAAATTTTCCCATTTTTGATACCGATACTGGTTGTAGGTCCCAGAAAATAACGAACAGTTTTTGAGACTGATCCCGGTCTCGTGGGACGAAGATCGAGATTTGTTCCACGCATTTCTATTCCGAATTTTTTTATCTTATTTCTAAACAATCTCACCTTTGTCTTTAAATTTTTGTAACATTTTAAATTTTTTGGTAAATTCTAGATCTATTCAAAATCTCATCAATATCTTGCGTAATCTCATTTTAAAGAAATTCAGCACAAAAGGTAAGCGTGTGTGTGTGTGCGTCTGTGCTTGTGATTGTCGTTGTGACTGGTAATATTAGTGTAGGTGAGTGTGTATGTCACACTTTTGAAGCTCACATCTTATCCATACGGGCATTCATACCTTTTCATAGATTTATCAAATTATTATTGAGAATGTTGTTTCATAAACAGGTTTTATTCGAAAGCTTGTTAATATTTATCGACATGTTGAGAATTTTCAGAAAAATATTACAGCATTTTTCAATACTCCTTAGAGCTCTTATTTTAAAAATGGGTATTAAGTTTTTATATTTTAATCGGCGCACTTTCGTAATTGGTTACGGTTTCATCTCTTCTATTTGTGATCAGGGAAAAAACCTTGTCAGAAAAAGAAAGTAGACAGTTTTAAGGAGGAAAAAAATTTCTATCAAATGAAGTATGAATGAAACCTGTAGAACATGTTTCTGCGTAGTTTTCAACAAACGCAATTAAAAGTTCTTCATTCTTTATGTATCCCCAGTTAGGATTAGATGACATCGTGTTACCAATGAAAAAAAGTACCTCTCAGTTGTAATTTAATAGTTCTCGTTAAAAATGCAAACACTGTCGATACTATGTCAGAGTATTCGAAACCGTCATAAATCTCGAGAAATCTTTAGGAATAAATAGATGTAAAAATTTCATAGTTATGAGTAATCAGCTTGTCCATCTTGATGGTATTTGACAGATCTGTCATAAAAATGAATACTGCTGATCGTATATAAGTGTTATCGGTAGGGATACTTTCATAATAAAATTGCCACACGGAGAAAATTCGCGTGTGTGAATCATTTTGAAGAAAAGAAGCTAAGCTGTTGCGGCAAGCGAAAAAGCCTAAAGTCATTGGTTAATGTTTGTCGATAGGTGAGAGTGCTTCGTTGAATAGATGATGTTATTTGCATGCGATTCGGTTACTATCAATAATGCAGTGGTCGTTTTTCAAGGTTCTGCAGTTGTGTTGTGCACAGCGTGAGAAAAAACAATATTGAGCTTCCATAATAAGACATATGCAAACAAAAAACGATAGCAGTAATGTTTTTTATTTTCTTGCCGCGTCTAAAGAAAGAGAAAGGCACTGAAAGTGTAAGAGTGAGAATTCACTGTGTTGAGCGACCTTGAAGAAAATAAGATTGAGTTTGACGATGGTGATATGTAGAAACAGGTAGCTCCAATTTTTTCTTTTTCTAGCTCGAGTTCTTTTCATAATGTACCATAACTCATCGTCAATCTGCTCCAGTTACGTCCCAACTAGGTGTGCAACAGTTCCATGTGAGATATAGAAACCTGAATGGATGCTTCAGCTCCAGTTCAAATGAAAAATCGGTCAGTCAACTCTTTTAAGAACTAGAATCGGTTCCAAGTTTCTTTCAAACGAAACTAGACTGAGAGCAATCCCAGACGTTGTTCCAATTAAAATTTAGTGTTTTGCCTTTTCCTCGTGAAGGTCGATCTTACACCTATTTTGACCGCAAAATTTCTTGAGTCAACTTTCACTTGAAAGACTAATTGTGATGTGTTCTGTCACGGCCTCGTATTTTTTTCTTGTGTTTCTCTTTTCTTTGACATTGTTCTGTGTATTCTAAAGTCAAGAATCTCACAGAAGAATAGTTCGGAAGAAAATTCATCAAATTCTGTAGTCGTTACGTATATAGTCCGTTAGTGTAAGTTACTTGCGTTGTAACCTATAATACATGCAAGGGGGAAACAGCGGACTTCAAGACTTCAAGACTTCAAAAGACTTCAAAAGACTTCAAAAGACTTCAACCGACTTCAACTGCAGTGACTTCATATTTTCACAAGACTTCTAAAGACTTCTGAAGACTTCTGAAGACTTCATAGGACTCCAAATGACTTCACAAGACTTCATAAGACTTCGTATGACTTCATGGGACTTCAAGGGACTTCATGAGACTTCATGAGACTTCACAGACTTCATGAGACTTCATAGACTTCATGGGATTCCACAGGCTCCATGAGACTTCATGGGACTTCACAAACTTCATGAGACTTCATGGACTTCATGGGACTTCATGAGACTTCACGAGACTTCATTACAAGGAAAAACATAGAGGACTTCAAGACTTCAAGACTTCAAAAGACTTCAACAGACTTCATGGAACTTCACGAAACTTCACAGACTTCTAAATACTTCTAAAGACTTCAAAAGACTTCAAAAGACTTCTGAAGACTTCACAGGACTCCAAATGACTTCATAAGACTTCGTATGACTTCATGGGACTTCATGAGACTTCACAGACTTCATGGGACTTCACGGCTGAAGTCTCTACTGTTTCCCCCTTGAATACATGTGACAGAGACATCAACTTCGATGAATAGTCAATGAGGAACATCTCTTCAACTGATTGATTAATCATTATTCACAACACAACAAAGGAAAACATGAAGATTCTAGTGAAACCACAGAAAAAACAGACGCTTCACTTCTGGAGTGGAACCAAAATAGCACCGTAGAGCAACTGCTCAGCAGTTGGAGCTGCCCATTTTTTGTGAAGTGACTTTGGTTGGTGGAGCATGCTTTCTATAGTCTTCAAGAAAAATAAAGTACCTTCTTTCAGACTGATTTGTATTTGGTTATCCATTTATGCCTGCCAGAATTAGTGAAGTTGCACGAATAAAGATTGATATAAAATTTAAATTACACATTATGAAGAGAAATACTTATTTTTTCCTTGTATGATAAAAGCAAGACATGTAATAATTTCTGTTTGACTAATGTAATATATAGGAATGCATTAGTAAAAAATCAGAAGGTTCCATCTGTTGTTGACAGTATGCCGATCTTTGACACGTGTTGTAGCTAGGGATTCGTGAGACAACGTTTTTTGTTCCAGTCCCAGCAAGTTTTTCAGATTTTTCTCTTGCTCCTGACAGATTTCTTCTAGTTGCTTCGTGGAAAGGACCTTCTTTCGAAAATGATTTTCATGTACGGGAGAGATACTTGCTACTGTTAGCACAATTGTGTCGTGTTGTGAACAGACGGATTTTAGATTTTCATAAAAAGTGATCATGTCTACTGGACAACATTTTCTTGGGCTGGTTCCGGGTGAAATCCCGCATATTTCTATTCGTAGTAGCTTATTTTCTGTTTTGCACTGATTCAAACAAAGACAGAATCAAGCACACACTAAAACATAGTTGCTCCTTGTTCTAATGTGCACCCTCGAGATCATTTGAGGGTATGTTTCGTGTCCTCAGTTCAATAATCGTTTCTACAGGCGAAAAAATTGATAAATCTGGTCTAAACAGATTTATCTGCACGCACATGTACTTTTTGAAAGCCTACTAATTGATATTTGGTTCTGCTTGTCTTTGACCAATAAAAGCAAACGTTCAGATCGAAATGAGTGCGATTGTTATGTATTATTTAGTTAACACAAAAAACACAACAGCAACAACAGAAAAGAGTGAGAGACAACCTCAAAGAATGATGGTAATATTTATCATGCTTTACTTAACATTGGCTTATGGTAAGTGACATTGCAAATCAAATTTCATGAGAGTTTAATCAAGATATTTAACAGAAATTCAAACGATTCAAACTTTGGAATGTTATGCGTGTAGTGGAGGACAAGCATGCGGCACTTTATTTTTACCAAACTCATCAAGCGTTAGAATCGCTAGATCTCCGAAAAATGAACCACTTTTTTCATGTTCGGTTCGTGTGATCATATCAGGTGTTGATGTATAACATTATTGCTCTTTTTCATTTTTTTGTCATCTAGATAACTGTAACCCCAGAAGGCTTGACAACTCGAGACTTAGTGCCCTCGCACAAATGCCGAAGTTCATCATATGAATTTTGTTGTAATGAAGACCTTTGCAACTCTTTGGCTTCTCCACCACTACCTGCATTAACATCTCTCAAGTGTGCTATAGGTAAATGCTCAATGTCTAATGGACTATGTATCGATGATGCTGCTTATGTTACGGTTCTCAGTAGTGCCACTGAATCTTGTTCGGTAAGTTAAAATGCATTTTTATCTCTCGTATTTAATTATCAAAAACGTGAATTTTCGAAATTGAGCATTAGAGTTCTACTTGAGAGAGAAACATCTTGTACTTCGTTTGTTCAAAATATATTATTCAGTTCGCCGAGTTACGTATGGAAGAAGTCTGTTTGGAATTTGCTATTTTTTGACCCAAGCAGATATTATTATTCATTTTAATACATTTTCGTCACTGATAGTATAGCTAAAGTTTTTCATAATTGCAAAAAAAACAATTTACTTCAAAACAAAACAAAGTAATAAAATAATGCTATCATGTTCGCACAGCTATATTGCGGTAATACTGTATACGTTTGTTCATCATTTATCATTTCACCATCATACTTTTTCATCAAATATACTTCAAAAAGTATATTCGATACATAGCTGCTATTAACTTCCAACGCCTCTTTCTCGACTTCTTCGCATAAAGCCTGAATGTTTTTAACTTCAATATATCCATGTGACTTGATACACTATGCTATATGAGATAACCTAATCGATTTCATTCAGACAAATACAGGGGTACATTTTTTTCTGAATGAAGAATTTGAAATTATTTTCGCACCATTCTTTAGCTCTTGGATCAGTATGAGAGCTAGCCCCATTTGTGATGTTCAAATACACAGCCAACCTTCTTTTTATAAAAAGGTAATCATCGATCATGATAGCTTTCATCAAGCAATTATTCTGTTTTTTTTTCGAAAAAAATAAGGATATGTAAGTCCATTCCAAATTATGCTAAATGTAACTATGACAGATATCGAGTAGTTTCCCCTTTCATGAACTCCATCGCCTTCATTGTCATCAGACCAATTATCAGCCCAAATGAAGTCTTTTTTGTCACTTTATCACGACTGACGTTCTTCCTAATCCATCCGCAATATGTTTTTCGTGTTCGTTCTTGAGCTTCTTTCATTTTCTTCAACATTTTTGTTTTGATAATATTTTTCTTCAAATCTTCTCCAAGAACTCGCTCGATAGTTCCAGTGTTACTTGTGGATTCTTCAACCATGGATTCGTTAACTTTTTTCTGGGAATGTTGAAATTAAGCCTATTAAAAAATTTATGAGCCATTTCGCTCGTCCAGTTTTTTGTCTTTGTTGATGTTAGTTTAACATCAACTGAACCAGATTGTTTAGAGGCGTGACTAGGTATGTACCCAAATCGTTCAGATCGTGTCCGGTCAAATCAAGAAAAATGCCCTTATCTACTGAACTATGCGGCACAACAGTTTTTTATTGGTAGAAAATTGAAGTAGGAGAATGATACGACAGAATGCCCAAAGAGGGATTTCAGCAACATTGTTAAACTACGTGCTAGAGTCAATTGAACTATCTAGACCCAATGAGTTTGGTTTTGTGTTGTTTTTCAGTTTCTTTTCAGTCTCGTATTAAATCAAACGTTTCATTAGATCATTCTTCGTTTGATTGTCAAAGACAGGCACTCTTCTATATTTGTGGCGCGACAGTTTATTGATATAGTTCGTAATCAATGAGATAACCTTAAAATATTGAAATTTTATTATTGAATTTTGGTGTATGCCTAGGTGTTACCAGCCATCAGTCATCCACGCCTGAGGCGTGTCCAAACTCGCAAAAATAAGGATAATTATCTCTACAATCGAGTTTGTACTATCGACAGATTATCAAACATATTTTAGGCTTTGAGATATTCAGCTAACGCGTGTCATAAACCTCATTTTTCTTCTAAAAGATATCTTTTAATGTGATTTAATTATGTGACAATTCAGCTGAAATACTTGAACGGAAAAATCGTCTCTGTACTTATGGTGGATCAGAAAAAAAGATCGATTTTGCTCATAATACTTTGACATTTTAGATTATTAAACCTATTCCATTAAAACATTAAAAACCGGATGAAATTCTGCAATGATAGGAACTCCGTAACGGACAGAATTTTTAGTTCTTATTCCGTACAGTTAGGCTTGGTAAGAAATGATCTGATATTTTAAAAGCTTGTTGAAAACAGAACAGCTCTTATAGAGAATCTTTATTTGTATGTTGTTTGATTTCGTAGTAAAATGCTAAACTATCAGCTCATATAAAAAACAGTTCATTTTTTGAATAACTTAGCTCTGGCTGAAGAAAAATCAATCAAATTTTTACTGGTTGTAGATCTAAATGGTCTTTATATATGATAAAAATTTTATGGCTTTCCTTTATCATTGATGAGATATAGATGCCACAATATAGAACGATGAAATTTCGAAACGCTTGGCCACGTCATTATATCGACACAGTCAGCAATACACTGTATACCGATAAACCATATTCGATAATAATTTTGCAATTTCTGAAGTTTTCTTCCCCATTTTATAGTGAAAAGTACCTGCATCTCTTAGATCATCGCATTTTAATTTTATAAAAGATATTAAAAAAAGAAGTAAAAAACACTAATCTATAAGAGTGGTTTGAACCGCCAGTATTAACTGAAATCATATACAACAAAATTGGACATTTGAACAACGAGATCACAGACATGAGATTTTAATGCGTCACAAAACTTTAGTCACACTCAGTAGTATGAAATGCCTGACTTTTTTATGTTCGACCAACGCAGTTACCTACTTGCCGATTATGAGACTGCAGACGAAAACTGTTTAGAAAACTTGGTAGTTATTGTGAAGTTCAAAACTTTGTTCTGTGAACTGGATCACATTACGGCTATTTCACTTTGTCGCTCAAAAGTTTTAAGATGGCAAACTCCTAGGCATTTTGACACGAACACATAAAGAAAATTCTTATAAATATCCTACCATATTTTCTGAAAAGAAATTCTCATATAGAAGAATAAAAGACATAGTGTTTATAAGATCTTTTGTCTGTGAACTATTCGTTCAGATTCATTATTTCGAAAAGAAACGAGTGATTCTGAGAAAGACAATCAGGACACTATCAGAGTGTTCACTTCGATACGTGCTTTCTAAAATCAAGAGGCTTGTTAAAATCAAATATTGCCACACCGTTTACATAGATTACATTTGGTAAAGAGAACTACAGACATTACAAACGAGGCTGCCAAGCAACTATTAAGACAACTCATTCAACTGGTAGAGTGGCACATATGACTGGTAACGACTTATCAATCTTACCGTATGTCTTTTGCTGTAACTCTCCAGAATGCAATACAAAACATATAACCAACGTTGTCAAAGATGTAGCTATTCGGTGTTACACATGCGACTCGCGCATAACCGGGCTGGCGGGTTGCATGACTTTCAATGAGTCTAGCCCGTATGTTTATAAAATGGCATCATCCAGCAATTCAGAATCGTGTGCTGTAAGTATGTTTAAAAGAAATAGCATGTTCTAATATCGAAATTAATATTTATAAGACGATCGTTGGCCTCGGGGGGCGAGATGTTGTCACCGGCAAAACCTATCCAGCCTTCACTATACGTACGTTCATTCCAAAGTGCGTTAATCAACCACTGGGCTCTGTTTCATATGGTGGTGCCTATTTCAAGGGTCGTATTGAATGCTGCTCAAGCCACTTGTGCAATACACAAAGTGAGTCGTTAATGACATGTGACATAAAGGGTGTGGATCAATGTATGACTGGATGTTATGGGTTTCTTTTTCTTGCCACACCAACACTCATACAACCATCTAGACCCACATTCCACACCCGTACTCACAATATAGCAAAAATCTTATATTATAGAGTTACAGCGTACTAAGGATTTTCGTGGTAGTGTAGTAATCCTTAGGGCCTACTATTTGAGTAAATGAGCTGACATTTATGCTGGCTAGACATAATAGACTGGAAATTATAATCTTTTCTCTGCAAAAATATTCATATTTTATTATGTATTGAAGTAAAAACAGGAAAAATTTAACCGCATGTTATTTAATCTCTGACAATGAAGCACCTGTAGGTGATACTTTTGTCTTATTCTTGGACTATATTTATTGGATAGAGTGTAATGAAAAAGTATTTCACATGAGGTAGGTCAATTGTTCCAACGTAGAGCTGAAGATATTGAATTTTTAGCCTATCAAAGAGCTACTTTGGTGATTTTCCAGGCACAAATCACATTGATTCTTTTCCTTCTAAAACTTCAATCATGATTATCTCTCTATGTCAGTAGTCGAATATAAACACTTTCCATGAGGTGACAAGTTCGTTTTTCCAGGAAATGTAATGGTATAGATGATGCTATATCGGGGTATGGCTGCGAGTGACGGTTTGGGCTAGTCTTTTAGCGCTATTGTCACCCATCCTCACATTCACCCGAACACTCGCCCATCTTCACCCTTACCTATTCAACTAAACTCTGAAATTAGTAATCATTATCTTTACTGATACAAAAGATTCAAAAGCTTATATTTTGTGAGTTCGAAAAGTTCAATGCTATGGTGGAAAGTCTCAGCACGCTCCTTTTTGTATTATTAATGATATTTCTTTGTTATTTCTCAAGCTTTGGATACAAAATCCAAGCCGCGCAATAAGAGGAAGATTATCCTTATTGGCATTAGTATCGTTGCCGTCGTTTTACTTATTATTGTCGCAGTAGCCATCGGCTGGGCTATTTATCGATGTCAACAGAAAAAGAGCAAAAGTAAGTATGATCCTTGTTCGACGACCGAACCTGCAATTTTACCGGAAACATTGGTAAAGAAATTTAAAAAGTCGCCCTCTAAACAAGCTGGTGGTGATTATTATCCTGAACAAAGTGCTGCCCCTTAAATATATGAATACGATTGAACTTCTTGGAACTTCTACGAGGACATATGACTATCATGTTCTATGTTAACTATGATTTTATCTTCTTTATTTTACAGCAACCAACTAATGAACTGTGTGACTGCATTTCATGATCATTTTATAACCACATATACATATATATAGTAAACGGAATCCGTTCCTAAAAAGAAAAAGGTTTCACTTTGACGCATGCAGAATTGATAAGTGAGCGTGTGGATGAATGTGTGTGCATGGATGCGGGTATGTGAGTCTGGGACTGGGGTTGGGTCTATGATGTGGGTGTGTGAGTGAGTATAGTTGTTGATGAGCGTGCGCGATAGGAAAGGGACACACGCACTCACTCATAATCATAGTCACAGCAATAGCCACGCAACCACATCCACATCCTATCCACGGGTTCAACAAAGTGGAAGCGTTATGCTCTCAGCTATTTCTACTTGGAATGATGAAATTAGAAACACTAAATAGCTCGGATGATTGAATCAAGAACATGCTCCTAACTCGATTATTCGATGCTTTTCTTCTACCTGAAAATGAAAGTGGAAAAGTTGGCTTGTTTTTGCTGAAAAATATACGAGTATACCGATCGTGGTTTGAGAATTGGAGCAATATAAAATGTGGCTGAATTTGGGAGACTTTTCTTGAGTGAAAAATTTTTCGCACGATCGAACGCGTTTCCAAGACATTTTGACTGAAGATGAAAGAATTTGAATAACTGTTTGACTGACTTGATCAAAGTAGGAACAAAACAGAATTAGAAAATAGAGGGAGATTAGCCTGTTCAGTCACGCTTGTGGATCTTCGAGGATTCATTGTATTCTGATGAACGATACATTATTTGACGTAGAAATGTGTGCTCTACTTCAGAAACTAAAAATCGGCTTTTTACAACAGGAAACTGAGGAATAGTGAAGAATTCAATAAGACGTTCAGAAAAAATAGGTATTAAAGCTAAGACACATAAAAGCAGCTGATGGCAGTATGAACAAGCATGACTATGTAATGGAACACTCGTATGTTTTGCTGACCATTCTTTGTACCTCTAATATTTTCTTTCGATATTATAAAATTTAATCGTAGATGGTGCGTTATTGACATTTGCTGTCAGCCACGCAACAGCCAGAAGTACATGTATTATACAGTTGCAATCAAAATTTATTGACGTATTTTAGAGTTCAACTATTCTGGTACAACGGCCAATTCGTCATTATTTAAAACGTTCCTTTGTAACAGTTGGCAAAAATGCTCAAAACCAGAAACTAGAGAAAAAAGACATACAGCATTCAAGGCAGTCAGAGAGGCTGAAAGAAATCAACAGAATTACTCAATGAGAGACGAACGCATGAGAAAATTCAGGTTCTTCTTTTTTACTAGGAATCTGCCTACAGTGAACGACCTGTCATAGTGAACGCTTTTCGTCGATCCCAACAGTATTCATCATTAAGAGGTTTTATTCGATTGGAATAAGCGAAAATGTGCCTAACTAAGATGGAAAGATCGTTGTCTATAGTCGACTGAAGGATTCAACTTCCTGATGGGAGGCATATCCAATAAAGCAAATCATAAGGCCGTCGAAAAAATTATAATATAATGTATCACACTCCATTATTGCTGCTGAACAGGAGTAGGGTATCAAACTTTTTGATTAAAGCACACGTGGTCTCATGTATGCAAGTCAAAAATGAAGGGTGACCTATCAATCGTGCATGTAATGTGCACATTTATGAGGAAAAACTAGTATATGTTACCAATCGTTTGAAGTCTGATTCCTACATAAAAATATGCAGTTATTCACGAGCTTTTGAATGGTATCATTTGAATTTTTTTAGATGTACATCTTAATTCATTTTTAGGATCTTGAAGGCTATAAATGATCAATTTGGTATCCTTTGTGGCTTCAAGATAAAGCTCTTGAATATTGGAAAATGACATTTGGGTAGCATTGAAGCATTGTGCCGGATTATCTGTTTTTAGCAGTTTCTGAAGACTTTCAAAAGTTTAACACAAGATTATTCATATCCCAAGATAGAAAGCTCAGAAAGTTCTAAACATTTGCATTCTAGCACTCAAAACCATTTCTTGGAGATTTCCATATTGAATATTTAATTTCAAAATCTAACATATGACAAATGCTAACTTGGTCAGTCAATTTCCGAAATTTCTTCTAAAATGATTTGATATTATTTGCAATATGTGAAATTGTTTTCTTTATTTATTTCGGCACATGTCTAGTAATTATTTCATGCATGGCATGAAAAAATAGAGAATGGTGTTCTGATATACTTTTCCCTGTCATTTTGTTAAAGTATTTAGAAATTGTTTTATTAATCACGAAGTTTTGTTATACATAGTCACCAGTTTGAAGTCCTTCTTTGATCCAGCTGCTTCTTGAAGTTTTTTTTTGCCTTTCTCAGATAGACTGCAGCCATTCACCCAGAGTGACTTCATTGACCGATTGTGTTCGATCATGTTGACGAGAGAATCGACACTTGAATCACTCACCAATTCGTTCCTGTCTAGAGTTAATACTTCAAGACTTGTATTTTGATAAGCGAGTGCATTGGCTAACATTTTCACCCCTTGGTCGCCTATTTTATTCATGGCTAACCCCAGCGTGGTTAATGTTTTATTTCTCTTCAACATTTCAACTAGATGAGGTACACCTGCGTTTGTGATGTCGTTCGAGGCAAGGCCAAGTTTCTTCAGAGTCTTATTGCTCGACAGTGCTAACGCTAGATGATTCAAACCTACATCAGACACATGATTAGTGTACAGCCACAGTTCATGCAATGTTGTGTTATTGTACAATGCATTGGCCAGAATCGAGGCACCTTTTGACGTGATCTCGTTGTATTCTAACCAGAGGTTTTTACATCTTTTGTTGATGATTGCCTGTTGAACTACAATCTCCATGTCTGGATCTGTCAATTGCTGTTTATTTAACTGCACCACTGAGCAAGGTTCACATTGGGCGATAAGTACTTCGAGTCTTTGATTGCGATAGGTGTGCAATTCTAAAAAAATCGTAGATATGGTCAAACGAGATTCAATCGTTCAAATCTACTAGGCATGAGGATCGTGAAAAGTACGTGAGGTACAGGACAAACACATATTAAAGAGCACAAGTGTTGACAAGAGAATTTTTACTATTTACAACGAATTCTAGAAAATCATTTTTGTGCAAGACAATGAGCAATTCTATTATGAATTGGTTTCTTTGATGAGATTCGTCTAAATATCTGACAAAGGACGTTATCGATTTTTTTAGGGCACATTTTCTCACCTTTTTTCATGTCATAAGGACCATTTCATTTGGCAACGTCTCACAGATACGTTTACGTACATCAAGTGAAATGCTGTGCTAACTCAGAGCCCAAAGTCTAGAAAAAGACGTAGTGACTTTGTTTCAATGATTCTTTCTATTCGTAATTAGAATCTTTTTGAAGACACAAGAGATCAGTGGTGAATCTTGAACCGAAAAGAGCTCACATGTGCGGTACCAACTTTAGCCTCGGCTTCAGTCATCGAAATCGTGATCAAAATATGAAGAACGGTTGAACTCAGGATCGATAGAAAAAAAGCCAGTATCGGGACTGGCACCACGAGACAAAATTTGTCCGACCCAAAACTAATGTTATACTTAAATATACTATAGTTTTAAGCGAATTATTTTTTAAATCTCATCAGTCAGAACATAATTCAAAAGAAGTGACCTAAAAAGTGTTAGTCGTCGACTAAATAAATAAAAGAACAAATATTGAAAAATTTTCTTAGTTGCGATATGAATAAATTCTGGAATAGCTTTCTCTAGACCGGAATCAACTTAGATTTATCAACACTATAACTATATAGATGTACAAGAAATTAAATTTATCCCGGTCTATCTTTCTTGCAGGATTTCATATATTTTAATCTTTTTAACTATCCTTATCCATTGTCTTCTATCTGTTTTAATCCTAGAACTACTTTAATTCCCTGTAGTTTTAATCTCTTCCATACCTTTAGTCCTTTTAATCCATTTAAGGATGTTGATGTGGGTCTAGGCGTGGGGTGTACGTATGGATGTGTACTTTCTGTCCACCCACACCCATACTCTTAAAGTGACTAAAAGGACTAAGGGAACTACAATAAATTATAGCTAGAAGAGGGTTTTTAGGCCGAAATAACTTTAATTTCTTGTAGACCCTTGGTGAAGACATCTTTGAAAGAGAAAGAATCTCAAGTTTCGCAGATCCAGGATTTTAACAGAGTGTACTTCCAGCAACGAAAATGCGCACGAATACTTGATAGTTATTTAGTGTGTTGATAAAAAAATGCTTTTATTGACATCGTTTAGAATTAATAGTCAGTTGTTGCGGTGATCGATATACTGTGAAGAATATCGTGTTTTTGAACCTATCCATCTTTTTCAAGTCAGTTATTGACTCTGAAAATTGAGCCAGTCAAATTCATGAAAAAATTGATCTCGCAATTGAAATTCTGCAAATATCCAAATGTGGATTCACTTTATCCAGTCACGTAGAATTCATTTTGCTGGTTCTCTGCCTTATTTCAATTTCATACTGAATTTGTTTCGTTTTTGAATTATTGATAAGCCAATTTTGAAAAGCAGATATGGCAGAAGATCGGCCAGTTCGTTTAGAAACTAAATATTTCATTCTAGAATCGTTAGTCTAATATGAAAGCACAAAATTACTCGTACACCCATAATCCTAATTAGTTTTCGCAGGAAAAAGTAATTAAGCGTCTACATGGTGCTACCGCACTTATTAACACAACAATATATGTTTCAGAAAAGCATGTTCCTTTGCGTGAATTTGTGCTATTCATGTCTATTATTTCGAAGTGAGCCTTTCAATCTACGGAACTAGATTTCTCAGTCATTCCTTCTCTCTTAACTGATAAGAAAGTTCATCGAAAAATTGTCAACTTCTACTAAAAGCCAGATCTATTATCGACTCCACCACATCCAGACTAAAAGCGAACTGCTATATTAAATCGAATAACGAAGATTACATACCTTTGTTTGAAGTATCTGTCACTGGAACAGCTGCAGACTCTATCGAATAGTTGGCGAGCATGGTCGAACTGCTGGCATTTGGCAGAACTGGTGTTGGAGAAAACTTTGATCTAAGTTTTAAAGTAAATTATTAGTAATGTTTGTCGCTCACAAAGTGATTAATTAATTAGCTACTTTTTGAACGAACAATTTTCACCTTGTAATCGAGGCTGCAAATAGGATGCAAAATGATACATAGAGACAGAGAGAGGGAAGGAGTATTTACACAGTGGTAGGATAGATTCTTTTGTACTACAGAGTGCTATTGTCGTATAATCTAGTAAAGTCTGATTGTTTTGAGCTTTTTTAGGTTTTTAGAGTATATTTTTTCTAGGTTTCTCGTCTTCTAGATTGTGTGATATATTCTCACAAAGTCAGAGTTCACGTCGCTAAAAACAACAAGAAAGATTCACATGTCTTGTGTTCAACTCGATTCATCGCTATTTTATGCTTGATTGAAAATATTTTTACATATGTATTATTCTCGGATGCTGCTCTTTCGAAGGGTATGGCTGTAGCCTTTCTCCATTATGCAGTGACGGAGAAATCAGCGGTCTACAATAACAAACCCGTATCTTATAAGTTGAATCTCAATTCTCTATGATAAAAATGTACGAGATATTTATGAAGTACAAAGTATGACAGTCTATCTGATGCATCCGTTTTTACGCCATTTCTTGTTACCTGTCAATTGTAATCTTAACAGTACTATTAGTCAGTTGAACATGAGGAAACAATAATTCCTGTTCAAGTATTCCAACTTTACTGCTTAAACTCAACACATTTTGCTCGATATCTGCATCTATTGTAATAGTTGACATAACTACGTAAGTAAGAGAAGATGAAGTAGAAAAGTCTGAAAAAAATTTCAAACATTAGAGAAATTCTCCTTCCTTGACATTTGCTCTCCCGCTTGTAGTATCTCTTTATATTATCCCTTCTATACAAGTTTAGATCATGAGGTTCACATTTCAGTCTCACCACGATACAGTTTGTTATATAAAAAGAATTAACATCTCGTTTCTCTGATAAGTCTTCATGTAGCCCGGTTATTTTCATAATATACTCACATCATCGGTGTCTCCTTTGTAGCAGGTGAAATAGTTATAATCTGTTCGATAAGCTGTTGAGCAGTCGGTCGCTTGCTCGGTTCTTGACTCCATGCATTCGAGATAATTGACGCAAAAGTAGACGGAACATCATTAGGAATTTCAAGTCGTTCTCCTGCTTTGACACCTTGACTAATGGTTGCTTCGTCCAACTCCTCATAGGGCACACATCCAGTAGCTAATTCCCAAAACACGACACCCAAGCTATAGATATCGCTTGCTTTAGATGGTTTGCCGAATCTCAGCAGTTCAGGTGCTTTCCATTGAAGCGTGCCTCCCACTATTCGTTGTTTATCGCTGTCAGTCGTCTGCTGACTTGTTTCCTGGCGAATTTTAGCCAAACCAAAATCACTGATCTTGACGAAATAGCCATCAGTGGCGTTGTCCATGAGAAAATTGAGCGACTTGATATCACGATGAAGAATCGACATCATATGTAGATAATTGACACCTTTTGTCATCTGAAGTGCGATTGACCAACGGTGGTTCCAGGAGAGCTTACGCTCTTTCTTTTGCAACACATCAAATAATGATCCAAGTGACATATATTCAACAACAAGCGCGCAATAATTTGGCTCGATACATGCGCCAAAGATATTGAGCACATGATCATAACGAATCTTGTACATGGCAGCGATTTCATCCAGGAAGTTTTGCCTCACATTGTCCGTCAAATATGTAATACGAATTGTTTTGATTGCTACGCGATGACGCTGACTGAGCCATGTGCCCCGATAGACATCAGCAAACCCTCCTTCACCAATTAGTTCTTCATTCTCTAGATCATGACCTGGAATATGAAGAAAAAGTTTTGACTCTTCCTCAATTTTTTTGGCTACAACAGGGTTCTGGGCCTTAAGCACATCTTGTTCTAGATGAAACCTGAATGAATTAAATCTTCTTTTGAATTCATTTTTCATGTCCTTTTTTTGATTAAGTAATTCTTGCTGCTGTTTAGCCATTGCCAGAGCAATCTCATCGAATTTTGACGATATTTCGGTGAGATCAGCTTGTCGATCGGCTATATCTTGATGCTGATCAAATATCGAAGTGACATTCAGAGCTAAATTGAGATCGGTCGCATTATGTGAAAGATGCATGTTGAGCAGTTCAAATTGTTGCTGATGGTCGGAATTGTTCAAAAATCGGTCGAAAACAGAGGCATCAGTGAATTTTTTCACAAAACTGATGCTTTCCTCCAACGTTCTAATAAAATTTTGCAAAGCTTTTTCCATTGCTGTTCCTTTGAAGTTGTTGACCGAATCGTCTTCGAGAATGGCAACAATAGATTCGACTCGCTTGCTCAAACCTATGAATGTGATTAGAACATATTTTTATCGTTTTGGAAGAGATAACCATGAAAACCCATGAAAAAAATGAAAGTTCCTAGAAAAAACAATGATCTTTTCATCGATCCTGAAAAAGTCGTCTTAGCGATCTTTTTTTGATAAATCTAGCTGTACTTAAATGCAAAAGTAGTTGTTTCTAGTGTCGGTTGTTTGTGATCGAGGGGGCGATTTATTTCTGCTCGTGTTACTTTTGAGAACTCCTAGTGTCTGATATTGTTTTCAAGTAAATTTGCAAACCTTTCTGAAATCTGATAGGTTTTGAATTTTGAAAAAACTTGCCAGCTCGATCCTATGAGCAGCCTATCTATTATTTGACAGGGTTCTTAGCAATTTTTCAAAAATACTTACGTCGACATTGGTTTTTGTTGGCTTTGACTTGCTCGCTGACATCACGTAAAGTCTTTGCCAATTGGTAAATGACTGGCAAAACTTTGGTGGGATCCATGCTAATAATTGACCTGGAATATCTTTCTTTAGTCACGTCTACAACGAAAAAAGAAAAGACTTAAGAGCATCTTAGTTGTGAGTTATTCAAAACACGAATGTTACGAATACTCAATTACTTTTCCCTCTCCGCGTGCAAGTTGAATACGCCGAGTAGAGAAGGAAATGAAAGAATATTTATCGTAACTGTCAGTTTAATGGAGAAACTATTCGTCAGTGAAGCAACCACTTGTTAGTTCGGATTGTTTTTCAACAGCTTCCATGTTTCTGTTCTTCCACTATCTTCTCAAATTTTTTCAGGACCACTCGTCGCGCGTATTAAAGCTCATTCTGTCACATAGCGGACGTGTAATTATTCTTCTCTTCTCTTTTTCGATACTCCTATTTTTGTGCTGTTCTATAAAAGAAAGCAAGTTCTTTCCGGAGCGAAAAGAATATTGATTTATTTTTACAAATTGAGTGATCCGTCGTATTCATTCATTTTCTAATTTATGTTTTTCTCTCTTCTCATTCTTACATATGAAAAGATCTATCAATGTGGTACTAAAAAAACCACTGCCATCGGCATCTGTATCTATTTATGTAACCAAAACAATACAATTTTCATTGACTGAGCTCAACATCAAAGACAGTGCGATCTGACTCACGTCTGATTCAGACTCAAACATGTTCACTTCTGAATGTACACGTGATCGTAGATTTGAGGGTGTGGATGTGAGTCCGGATGGGTATGAGTACAGCATATAATGATCTATTCGATTTCAAATTGAAATGCAGGCGAGGAGACTTCAGAATTATCTATTATCATATATAGCTATGTAAGTAATCCTAAAGTATCTCCCTTAGCTCTCTACCATTTAAAAAAGGGTATATAGAGATATATAATAATAGATAATTGTTAAAACTCCCTGATCCCTGAATTCGCTGCCGTTAAGATAGAAGGTATGATGAGTCTGTAGACGTATGTATAGTTATAAACTATTCAAAATACCCTATTTACATAGAGCAATTCAAAAGTAGTCGAGAAGATGTGTGAATTCCTTATTGAAAGCTTAAATGAAACTTTCTATCTATATAGTATGATAGTAAAAAACAATCGTCTATTTTTCTATCATATTTGATCATTCTTTAACTAATATCATAATAATAAAATTTCAATACGACCTGTTTAGTTATGATATGTGACGGTTACATTATTTCATATTGTCTTCGATATGTATTTTCTTTTTTCTCTTCTCTACTAATATGTAACTGTCTATATGTATTACAGTATACAAAAAGTAGTAGCGACGGAGCAAAAATGACATATAGAAACAAGTAGCTCGTGCTTTATCTTCAATCTCTTATCGACTTTCACGAAACCATTTAAAACATCTTTTAATTATCCTAAGACAAGAAACTTCACCACCGCAAACTGAACGTGATCCATCATGTATAACTCTTCCTTGAATATTAAACGCAATACATACTTTAATATACAAGCGAAAATTTTTCTTATTCGCCTAAAGCAAAGATAAATAACGTCAAAGTTTCACTTAACTTCATTTCTTTAACTTTCTTAGGAACGCTCTATTAAACTACCGATGCAAACAAAATAAACAAGACATGCGTCTTTAGATACATATGTGTAGACGGCTAAGCATTAGAAGGGATGAGGCAAAAGAATAACGAAAAGATAGACGAAGATAATACATATCGAATACAATATGAACTAATGTAAGTGTCACACATCATAACTAAATAGCTCTTATCGAAATTTTATTATTAAGATATTAGTTAAAGAATGTTCAAATAGCATAGAAAAATAGAGTATTGTTTTTACTATCAGCCTATATAGATAGAAAATTACCATAAGCTTTTAATAAGGAATTCAAATACCTTCGCCACTACTTTTCGATCGTCTTAAGTAGTTTTACTACAACTTGCTTTTATACGATGTTGAAAAATGCAGTCGATCAAATAGCATACAACTCCATCACTGGCAATGAAATGTGTTTTTGATTTGTTCTGTTCTTTTTCTAAAGAAAAAATACGCAAATGTTTGTCGTTATAACGTATGCGTTAATTGTCAAGCAAATCGGACGAGTGGCAAATAAAGACTAACAGCTCACACTATGCTTCGTCACAAGGTAGCAAATGAAAGAAAAACTGATGTAAAAATTTCGAACGCTGTCGAGTTACTCATACTGCACCCGTCTCCCGTTAGCAAAGAACAGAACAAAATTCTTTTTTTTTCTTTTCTTTATATTTCATACCGCTTGCAACAATAAACCATTCAATATGCATATGATTCATCATGAGTAATTGTATCATTCATAGTATGAAGTGTGGGTGTATGTGAATCATTCGAAAAATAGATCGACCTATCTTTTAACGAAGAAAACAAGTTCAATCTACTATAGTCTCAATTCTTACTTTTTAGCAATCGATCAAGTCGAAATAATTCGAAGTACACATAATGTGCTTAATAAAATAATTAATTCAAGTTAGAGATTTGTGTCTGCAATAAAGAATAAAAGATTACTATTTTCATTCATTGAATTGAAAAGAAGCATGCATAGAAAAACAGAACAATAAATATGATTTATTTAAAACAGAAGAAGATCAATAAGTTAATACTCTTGCACCTAGACTAATTTCTCTGCAAAAGTTGAAAATACTCGGTTAAAAATTGAATAAATTGAGAACGCAAGCAGCTACCGATCTATGGTTTTCAGCAATTGAAAGAGAAGGCATGGGAGCGTCTTTATCTCGAATAATATATAGAGCAAAATCATTTTAGAACCAATGATTTATGCAACACATTCAAGAAATGTATGAAACTGGTCTATTATTTCGATGAAATTTTGATTTTGACGTACCTGTTAGATAGAAGAACTTGAAATCTATAGTTCAAGAAACAATTTGAATGATTACCTTCTCACATTCTAATGCTAAGCAAAACGAAGTTGTGTATCTGTTCAATCAAGTAATATGGAATTTTGTTCATTTTTTTTTAAGTAAATTTTCTTATTATTAAAATTTCATTGGAATAACAGATCATTTTAATACAGTTTTTTGAATATTTTGCAGAAATCATTGGTTTCAAAATGATTTTATCATATATATTATTCGAGATAAAGATGCTCTCATGACTTCTCTTTCGATTGCTGAAAACCACAGATCGCTAGCTGCTTGCGTTCTCGACTTATTCAATTTTAATCGAGCACCTTTAAGTTCCGCGCCGAGCTTAGTTTGTGGCCATTTGGCGTTTGACTTCATGTTATAATGACAATTAGACAGTATGTTGAAGTTCAAGAAAACAAGCTTATGCGTTATATAGTAACAATGATGTCTAGTGAACTCTATAAATTGCAGTGAATTAAAAGTAAAATTGAATGTATAAAATTTTCTTCAAATTATTATGCGTAAACTTTTAAAAGTTTAAAAAAAGAAAATTTTAAATTTTTGGTTCTTGTTTTTTTAAATAATTTAAACGTAAAAGAAAAGTAAAACTGCCATCCCTATTCAACACTTATAATGGATCGTATTGACGATCTCTACTTCTGAAACATGATTGAACACATAGTCTAGATAGATTCTCGAAGTTACACTCTAACCTTATTCCTCATTGTTTTTCTTGCCGATCCTAATCACGTCAACGTTTTTTCTTGAATAAAAAAAACTTGTATTTATTCAAGTAAACCTCTTGTGCCGGCATTTCAATGTCAAAACATTTCATAGGAGTTGTTGGCATTATTAAAACAGAGTTCTTGTGATAACTAAATTATCTGCAAATGATGCATGATTCAAATATATGAAAGAATATATTCAATTTATATCTATTATTTCTTGACATGTGTATTGTTAAATCTATAGTATTTATTGTAGTCGTATGGTTTTTTTATGACTATTGTTAAGATTTTATCTTTGTAATTTTATATTTTTGTTTATTTCATAATAGTCTAATATGGATTATAGAACATATCTGATTGATTCTTCGAAAACTTCCATACATTAAGACTAGAGATATACTTACAGATTATTGTCGCCACATCTAAAGATTCAACTATTGGTCAATTGAAAATCGAAGTTCATTTTAATTTTATTTAGAGATGTTTTCATAGTGATATTATCTTTGTTCAGTTGTTATCGTCAATTAGCAAAAACTGAGATTTTCTAGTAGTGGACGACCAACACTATTTAAACAGATCAATCAGACCGTAATCAACTAGTTTGATTCATATATTCAAACTATTTTACTATAGGTAAATAAAGAAGTATAAAATAATGCTATGTGGTACTACAGTTGAAAAATTGATTGTTGTAATTTAGAAAACTATACTTATTTTTAAGTACTAAAGAACATATAGTGGAAAAGTTATATGACATTACTTATAATTGCTATAGTCTAGAAGTAATAAAACCAACTATTTCGCTTTGAGGATGGACAGCGCTACGGATCATAATAGAAGTATTGAAGGAAATTCCCGTTTACTATTGAGGTATTTCCATCATATTTTGCATCTGTATTCGTAAGAATTATGCTAAAAGTTTATTAATATTGATGATCATATATACGATCTTCTTTCTGTCCTGTTACTCATAAATTATAAAGATTTTATTGACATGTAATAAAAATATCTCTAAAATAGATATTTCAAAGCTTATTTCTGAGTAATACATTAAATTTTGTTTTATTTGAAATAACAAAGCAGGCTCATAATCAACTATGAAGTAAATTGTTTTGATTTCATTGACTTCGCAAACAACTTCAAAATGTAAAGAAAGAATTTCTTTAGTAAACAATACTTAATGCAAAAATCCAGAGCATTTGTATTTCGTTCTGTTACTTAATTATATGAATAATTTCGAAATTACTTAGAATATTCTCAACATTTTTCTATTTTCCAACAGATGGCGCTATCAATCAATCACATCTATATTTTCTTGTTTGTCTTATAAATTAAGAAATATTTATTTGAAAAAAAAACACATTTTCTCATAAATTTCTATTAATTTTTATACATCATAAACTAGATGAATTAATATTCATTTTATGAGTCATTTCAAGGCGAACTAAATAAACATACATACCCATACGTTTTCTTTCATACACATGTCATGAAAAAAAAAAAAAAACAAATCCAAATGGATCAACATATGAGTTTTCTTTTTTCTATTTGAACTTTGATCATATAGCGATATGTTTTTACAACAATGATCTATTTTTATCATTTATTCATATTTTAATCTACTGACCTTGATTATATATTTATTATATTTTTAGAGCAAAAAATCGATTAAAGAAAGATGACATCATTAACAAGACGTAAACCACAACTATCATCAACTACAAATAGTGATGGAACGTATAATGAATTGGCTAGTAATAATATGTCCGAATTAAATCAAAATGATCGCGATAGAAATGATGAACGTGATAATGATGATGATAAAGAAACACGTCTTACACTTATGGAAGAAGTACTTTTACTTGGACTTAAAGATCGAGAAGTTTGTTGATTATATTTGAAATAAGAAAACTTTTTTTTTCTTTCCTCAGGGTTATACATCATTTTGGAATGATTGTATTTCATCAGGTTTACGTGGATGTATATTAACTGAATTAGGTTTTCGTGGTCGTGTTGAATTAGAAAAAACGGGTGCACGTCGTAGGTCATTAGCTAATCGAAAAGTAATGTTACTTGATGATACAGCTACAGGTGATGTTTTACTTGATGAAGCTTTACGACATATTAAAGAAACACAACCACAAGAAACAGTACAAAGTTGGATTGAATATCTTAGCGGTATGAAAATGAGATTTTTTTTTTTAAAACTAAATTCTTTGTCTTTTTCGCTGTGATGATAAAAAAAGAGTTTTATGTTTCAATATAAGAGGTTTTTCTGAGAAGTAAGTTATATCAAATTGATTCGTAATTTCGAACAAACACTTGAATTTTCTAATGAAGAGATCGATCTAAAAGACAAATCATACAATCACGGAAGGGTTTTATTCAGATTTCCCCTTCCAGGAGGTTCAAAACGAACGGTTCGGTTCTCATCCAAAACACTGATCTATGGCTTCATATAATCCTACTGAAAGTTTTATTCTCGTGATATTTACCATAAATAAAAATATGGATGAGTAAAGAAAAGCAGTTTAAGTTCATTATTGTGATGTTCAATTAGGTGTAGTCGAAAATCAAAATAAATAAAAAAATTCTTTTTGACAAGATATTTTTGATGAATAAAATCACAAAATCTTAGTCTGTATAGAACACTATTTATTACAGGAAACAATTAACGAGTATTTTTAAACTAATGAGTGGTACATAATAAACCAGACAAAATGGTTTCGTCTTTTTAAAGTACAACTTTCTTTGTGTTGGTATAAAATTTAAAAGATGAACACCTTCTCAATCATCTCTAACAGCGATAGTTAATAAAACAAAAAAATTTTTCATAAAGGTTCCACTGAGATTTTAAATATACTACAAAGTTCTTCAGAAAATTTTGTATGTTTTGATATATATTTCAGACTTTTAGAAGAAATATAAAGGAGAAAACTCTTTTCTGATAGAATGACATTATTGTTCTTTGTTAATTCAGCGTAACTTAATGTTTCTACTGTTTAATTTAGCAATTATATCATTTTCTTCAGAATTAAATTCTATACTTGGCAACTTGAGAACAAATGTGTCATTCTGAATAAAGATGACAGAAACCTTTAAAAGATCGTGGAAGTAGAGAGTATGAGATTCTCTCTCCACTGATGCTAAATACTTTAATTTTTAGTATCGGCTTACACAAAATGAGAAGGCACAGTTAGACGAGATGTTCATCTTTTAAATGTTGTATAATAAGCCTAAAACGAAGTCTCTAACTAAAAAGAGGAAAACATTTTGTTCCATTTATTATACACTACCTGTTATTATAAAAAGAAAAAAAACTTAATATTTCTATTATTAATTTTTTTGTTCTACTAGGTGAATGTTGGAATCCATTAAAATTAAAATATCAATTACGAAATGTTCGTGAACGTTTGGCAAAAAATCTCGTTGATAAGGGTATATGTAGTACTGAAAAACAAAATTTTTTTCTATTTGATATGACAACACATCCACTCAATGATAACGTACATAAAATGAAATTAATAAAAAAAATTCAAGATAGTGTTTTATCACGTTGGCCAAATGATCCACGTCGTATGGATAGACGTATATTAGCACTTATCTATTTGGCACATTCAAGTGGTAAGAAAATAAATAAGATAAATATTAAAATAGTTTTTCTTTCTTTTTTTTTTCCTAAAAAGATGTTCTTGAAAATGCATTCACTTCGTTATCGGATGAAGATTATGAAGTAGCAATGAAACATGTACGTGAATTACTCGATCTTGATCCTGATCAAGAATCAAGCAAATATGAAACAAAAATGGAAATTATGTGGGCTGTTGTATCAGCATTTAATAAATAAGAAGAATTTCGATTTATTGCTCACCTATATCTCGCTTTCTCTTTTTTGTTTTTCTTTTATTACAATATTCCAATAATATATATAAACTGGGCAGTGCTGTCGTTGGTCACACAGGAGGATTGACTACTTATTAATATTATTTTTTTTTCTCTTTTTGTTCTGGCTGCTATTTTCATCATTTTTTTTTCAAATAAAGTATACAAATACAAATATTCATTATTATTCTTCTTTTATAATAAAACAATTTTGTGTTTGGGTGAGGATTGGATTAATTCTAACAATATGTACACTTGATAACTCACATTTTTTGTCTAACACTACAAAAACAACTTTTGTTTTTCGTTTTTTTTTTTTTGTTCGTTTGTGTTTTTTGTATGCGCAGGTTTAATTATTCTATAATCTCTATGCCTTTTTTTATTCCTGTGATATACATGCACAAGATGTATAAACTAAATAGAAATAAACGAAATAAATATTGCACTATTCTAATAAATATCATTATTCAATAGCGTTTGTTTCCTTTAGATCAAATTTATTACTTTCGTCCGTTTTTTTCTTTTTTTTTTTTTTTACTATTTTTCTTTTCTTATATTGCTGAGCAACACGTTTTTTTGTATAAAAGGGTAACAAAACATTGATGTTTACGCGATGAATCAACGTCACTGCAAGGAAAGAAAAACGGTTTTTTTTTTGTTTGATGTTTGAATATTTTTTATGAATAAATCGATGTCATCTAATCATCCTTTAATTAATGTAAGTTTTGTTGTCGTCATTGAGTAAAAAAAAGCACAAACAAATGTTATGGCAACTTGAGTACATTAAAGAGTAAAAAGAAAAAAGATAATATTTTCAACAGAAAAAATCAGTAGTAAGAATAAGAACGAAAATGTTTTTCGTCGTCTTCATGAAAAGTAATACTTGAAGACGGAACAATATACATATATATTTTATACTTTCAGATAATAATCATATTACATTTGATGTTGTATTAAGAAAAACATTGCATTTATTTTTATAAATGGGTCAACTTCTTTCGTGTGCAGGTATTCGTTTGGGCACACGAATAAGTGAACCGGAATCAACTGAAATTCCAATTCATCATAAATGTCGAAATTGTGGTCAACAATGTGATCAATCAAAACTTTCGGATACATGTATTTATTCAAAATTTACACGTACAGGTACAAAAGAACAACCATTAATTATTCGATCAATTGTACCAAATGGTAAAGTACGTTGGTCATCATCATTTGATTATCATCCAATTGAATTTACATCAGAAAAAATTCGTACATCAACTAAAGAATATGTTGATCGAGATCCACGACAAGATCTAAATATTGAAATACCATGGAATTCAGATGATCGTTTATGTGATCGACGATCTTATCATGGACCTTATAAAATTATTGAACGTATACCACAAAATCCATGTGGACGAACAGGAATTACAGGACGAGGACATCTTGGTAAATTTAAATTGTTTAAAAAAAACCAAAATCAAGAGAAACTTTGTTTTTTTTTTATGTTTGAAAACTTTTTTTAGGTCATTTTGGTCCAAATCATGCTGCTGATCCAATTGTAACTCGATGGAAACGTGATAAAAATGGTGCAAAAATGTTTCATCCATCTACTAAAAAAGGAATGTTACAATTTGTTTGTATACTTCGAAGAGATACAAATGAATATGCTATACCAGGTGGTATGGTTGATAAAAAAGAAAAAGTTACTGATACATTACAACGTGAATTTCATGAAGAAGTACTTAATTTTCCAGATTTAGATGAGTGTGGTAAAGAAAAATTAGTAAAAGTAATTAAAAATATTTTTGAAAATGGTGGTACAAAAATTTATTGTGGTTATGTTGATGATCCAAGGTATAAAATAGAATTAATAGTCATTTAAAATTAATTTTATTGGTTTATTTAGAAATACTGATAATAGTTGGATGGAAACAACAGGTAAGAATATTAAGAAGAAATTCAGTATGACTTCGAGGTATAAATGTGAGCAGAGGTGTCAACCGATCGACTGAACCGCTGCCTATCAAGCGACTCAGCCGCGCCGCCAGACAAAAATAGATGTTTGGTTTTTAAAATTCTCGACGTTTTGAATCAGTTTTTGGAGATATTACCATCTAGTTTTTTCTCAATAAGTTCTCTACCATCGTTTTGTCTCTGTTTCATTTCAAAATCTCTCGAAATTAAAAATATTCTTTAAAATTTCATCGAAAAATGTTAGCCACTGCCGTGCTAATCAATGTATCGGCTTACACTTCTAGGTGTGGGCGTTGATGTGTCTGTGTGGATGAATAGAATACCTAAATTCACACTCTACTCGTGTCGATTAGCATTCACAAATTAAAGACTCTTTTAGAATCTCGATTCTATAAAGAAATTTCTTTGTCTTTTTCTAGCATATAATTTTCACGATGAAGATAATGAACATCTTGCATTAATCAATGTTCAAGCTGGTGATGATGCAACAAATGCTTTTTGGCATGATCTTGATTCTCAAATTCCATTATTTGCAAGTCATGCTGATTTTCTTAGACGAGTTGCTTATTTACATAAGGCACATTGGTGATATATAAATTAGTTTTTATATGTGTTTGATATATGTATTGTTTTATTGTGATAGGGTTTTTTTTTTCTTATATGCATAGAAGAAAAAAACCGAAAACGAATATAATTAGTCATGTGATTGTGCTGAACGCAATCTTGTTTTGTTCCAAAATATATTTTTAATGTGAGAATGATCATTTAATTTTCTTTTTATACTTTCTTTTTGTTTGTCTTAATATGATAAACTAACATTGATGGAAGCTTGAAAATAATTGAATTTATCGAATTATATTTTCTTTACTATTTTTTAACGTATGATTGATAACTAAAAAAAAGTTTCCAATGTGTAAATACGAGATGAAAGGTGATGACTCTATAAACTCATTGGGCGCTTTTTTTATTCCTATAAAACAAAATTAAATTGTAACTGTTTCGAAGAAAAATTTAGCGTGCTACAAAAACTATTGATTCTGTTTACAAAGAGTGTGGATGGGCAAACGCGAACGGATAATTCTTAACCACACGTACTCTTCTTTTCTTTTTCTATTTATATATTTTTCTGTAGGTTATTCTCGCTATTTTTTTGTATTTATTTATCTGTGATATTCAATAAATTTATTCTATAATATTTACATTGTATCAATTATCTCTTTTTCTGCAAAACCAATATCATTAATGTTATAATCATTTATGTTTATATACAAAGGACACACCATAAATACTGACGGAAATATTTTAATTCGTTATAAAAAGCTTAATTATTTTTTTTCTCGTCTCCTCTAATACCTAGCTACCTAGGCATATTAGGGCATACAAAAAATAGTGTCCGTAGAACAAAAAACAAAATCCAAAAAAGAGCTCATCAAGTTTTTATTTAAGTAATTCTTCAGATTTGGCTATTTGACTTAATCAAACAAAATCTAAGCAATCAAAACGATACTAAATCATTACATGTTGTTGTAAAAAATGTCATAAATTCTTTGAATAGAGAAGAGTACAAATAGCTAGGACGATTATTTCGAACATTTAATGAAATAAAGACTTGATGAACTTTTTTTGCGTATGTTTTTTTTTGTCCTATCCGCATCACTTTTTTTTGTTGATAGTGTGATAGATATAGACGACTAGACTTTAAAGGAGACGAGAAAAAAAAGAGAGAAGAAGAAGAAGAAAGAGAATACATATCGATTACAAAATGTGATTTAATATTGCTGTCACATATCATAACAAACAGCTCTTATCGAAATTTTATCGATGCCTCACAACTATGTAGGACTTTAATTGATAAAAACTCATCTCATCAGCAACTTTTCGAATTCATGCCGAACTAAGTTCTGAAGAGATTTCAATAAGATATTTTATTTATTGAATGATCATCTGACATTTACTTCATTGAAAAAAACATGAGCACTAGCACACAAGAGCATAACATGTAAAGAAAATGTATGTTTTTTCTTCACATTCTCTACACTTGATTTTAAGCTTGATGTCAATCAGATTACCACTTGCATATTCTTTACGACGAAATTCAAGAATTGAATGATGTAGGTGGATGTGCATGTTCGCGTGAGTGTTCCAGTGAGTGGGCTAACAGTTCTTCTGTGCACTCACACCCACACACGCACCTATTATATATTGATAGAGCAATTAAGTCGATAATTGCATATTAACTGCAATTCGTTGAAGACAAATGTAAAGAGGACTGATGTGTAGAGATGAATTCAGACATGATATTTTTCTTATAGATTGCAATGGGACGAATTTATTAAGGATATATATGGTCTTAGTCGAGACGCTTTCTAAATAAACATCATACGACAAATGAATATTTCATAGAATTATGTATAACAACATCAATATATCTCTCCTGTTTCATGATTACGAATGATGCGTAACATCATCTCCGCTAAATACTTCTTCTCTCAAAAAATCATCACTTGATGGTTTTGTTCGAGTAACTTGCTCGTTTGAGAAAACAAAATGATTAAATTTGTCATGCGACTAAAGATGGCGTGTGAAACCGATGGATAGACTGAAAATAAATAAATGTATTCAAGATTCTATTCAACTATTTTTATTTATTTCAAAGAACAAATTTAGATTTGTTCAATGATAAACAATTGAATGGTAAACGAATAATCTCAAAAAAGGTTTCATTTAATTATCAAATTTAGAGTTTAGAAACAAACAATAAACTTCAATAGTTCAAGAATGAAACCGCTACTAGTTGTCCTCGAATAAGTCACTGTTATATGATCGATGAATATGTTAGTAATTTCCATCAGTATTCTATTCGAAAATGTATTTTCTCAGTTAAAAGAAAAACTTAGGAATTACTGTGAAATCGGTGAGTACGATGTGAATGAATAATATTAACCAAGATTCTATTAAACTATTTATACAATTGTTAGAAAACATTAGGAGTTATTATATATTGAATATAGATACTTCTCACATATTTTATTCAATATAAAACAAAAACAAAAATAAAGAACGTTGATCATTCTTTGATCAGTTGTTTATGCGTATAGATAGTGTTGTCAACAACAGAGTTCTATTTAGTATTTAGTCATTTCAGCGAAGAAGACACAATTGATACAGTGAATGTAATCAATTGATATGTAACTAATAAATATGCAAAACAAAGCATCGATTTCAGTATACTTTTGGTTCGAACGAAATATTTCAATCATTATTTCATTCAAATATTTTACTTTATTGTAGCTTCAATGATCAAGCTAGCTTAGTAAGATGTTGCGAAAATCATTAACATAACGACTCAATATTCTCTTGCTTTCATATTATATAATATGTCATTTCAGATTGAACCAGAGAACATGCATTAACTATTGTCCATTTCAAAGTAAAGTGGATTGCTCTATCTTTCTACAAAGTTGATGAAAAATTTCAGTCACTTTTCTTCATGGATCTATAATGAATTTTGAGGATGAGCTTAATCTGTTGTGAAAAGAATATGCATTCTCAACTATAACATAATGAAAAGATAGCCAAACTTCTTCTCTATCGATCTACACAAGGCCGAGATCGATAACTATTTGTGTTCAAAAAATCTAAAGATTATACTGAAGACTATTCACCAAAGGTCTTGAAAATCTAAATAGGTAAGTAAATATTTTCTTCTATAAGTTTTTAGTCCCCTCCAACTTCGTGACATGATTGATTAATATTTGAAGTTTCTTTTTCTACTAAGAGCGGCATCAAAAATTATATATTGACTTTACTTTGATGATACTAAATCGATATTTCAGAAAATTCTCTCGAACCTTTATTTTATTGGTATTTTCTGTAGCAAAATCTTTGAGAATTCAAATCGATTAACCGAAAGGGAATTCGAAAATATTTTCTTGTCATTGTTGATGCATATTCTCAACGGATAGAAGTTGTTACTATGCATAATCCATCAACGAAAGCAACAATCGATGCATTATCATTCCTATTTACTCTTTATGGTTTATGTGAAATTATTCTATCTAACAATGGCACTCAATTCACTTCAACAAAATTTACTGAATATTGTGCTCGTAATGGTATTAAACACATTACAGCTTCACCAGGACATCCACAATCTAATGGTCAAGCAGAACGATATGTAGACACTGTTGAGTCTACTTTAACAAAAGAACTTTATAATGAAGGAAAAATATCTGATATTCTTTTAAAATTTTCTATTCTATCATAGAACAATTCCTCATGCAACAACAAATTCAAATCGGACCAAACTATTTCTTAAACGACAATTAAGCACTGTGTTGAACTTATGATGGATTGTCATAGTTGGAAATCATGCTTGGTGTCGTCATGAAAATCAAATTAAACATCGTGAATGGTCAACTGATGAAGATGTTATTACTATAGATCCAATAACAAACAATTCATCGCAACAAATGTTCCTTAACATCTTCATCATCTAATCAAGGTTCACAAGTACTTCAAGGTTCATCACGTTTAAAGAAACGTGTAAAACGTTTGATCGAAGAAATCAAAAATAGACGAATGTAATGTGGTAACATTCATTATTGTTATTTTTTGCTTTTTTCTTTTTATTTCTGTAGTTTCCTTATTTTCTTATCGTTCTGTCTTGGCAGCACGCCATAAGTATATATATACATATATGTGTATTTTTTCTTCTGCTCTTTGATCTTTTTTTGATCTCAACTTCTATATTCGTTATTGTTGATAGGGTCAAAGAAACGTTATACTTGGCGTAGACTTTGTTCTATATTACATAATATACATATTGCGTTTTGATAATATAAAGTTAGTTTTACGTATTGACTTAAATACGTGACAATATCCCATGGAGAAGATAAATAAAGAAAGCGAGCCATAAGTAAACTATAGATCATTGTGTATACTATTGGACAAATCGAATATATACTTTTTCTATATCAAACAGATTTATAAGCATATCATTTCAATGATTAATATTGAAACTAATGAAAATATATCATAACTGTTATCATAAATACCAAAATATTTGCAATTTTTACTAACTACAATGATAATTTAGAAATGAGGAAAGATACTTTAAAAAAACTATACATATTCTATTGTTTCAAAAACAACATGCACATAGAAATATATAACGTGTTATATCGATTAATATATTTCGAATAAAAAAACTATTTGCTTTTCTATCTTTTAAACTACAATACCAAAGAAATGTTATTGCCATACTTAACGTGATCACTATCATAAAATGTTTGTTGTTCTTCATTCTTCAACTTTTTTACAAAAAACAAAAATTAAAAACAAAATTTTTTATATATTGACTATATATTTTAACTGTAGAAAAAAATTAGAGATAGTGTGCTGGCTTTTTTTTATTTGTTCATTCTTGTCCTATATCTATGAAAAATAGAAAGTCAATAATCGGTCAATCTATGCAAAGAACAACAATAAATTTAACTAACATAGACAAAATAAAAAAATATTATTGATTAATTGTAAGAGAACGCTAAATAAAGAAATTGTTTATACATTTAGAGATCTTAATTTATCTTTATTATTCTTTATATTAAAGAATAAATATAGCGTGTGGGGTCTCTCTTCATTCCTATCTCCTCATACCCACACTCACGCACACCAACATGCCCACGCTCACATCCACACCATAATATCGATTGGATTGTGTAACGTGCTGTATCTTGTACGCATGCTAAATGATAAGACAAATATATAACGTATATACCATCGCCGTCGTGATAAGTGTTTTCTCTTTTCTTCCTTTTTTCGGAACGTTTGTTAATGAGAAATACAAAAAATTCTCCTTTTTTCTTTCTTCTTGCTCGAGTACGAATTTATAAAACTGTACTGCTTGATATGGGAATAATGTACCTATTGACGTGTTCTTTTCGCATCCTACGCAGAAAAGAGTCATTTCGCAGTCGTAATAGTCAGCAGACATATAGCATCTTTTTCTTTCCAAGTGCGTAGTAACTTATTACGTTAGTCGTTTATAAAGAAAAACAAATAATATGATGTAAAAATTTTTGCCAATTTAGCGAAGTCTTGTCACGTGAAAACTCGTTAAAAGTGCGAAATATTAACGTATTTTCATGATCAAAAAGCTAACATCTTTTTCCATTAAATCATTAAATTTTTAACGATGCTTCACGCGATAATATATAAAAAAGGCATGAAAACGCGTAAAATACGTGAGCTGATATATGTATATATTACTACTCAGAATTTTTCATACATTGTTATTTACTGCAAGGATGATGAACTTCCTTCAATGATTCGATATCTCCATAGGATTCATTAGTTTAAAGAAGAAAATTCAACTAATCAATTCAATATTGGACATACTTTCTACTAAGATGCTTAAGAACTACAATTATTTCGTGATAGATAGAAAAAACTAATCAAGAAGTATAATAATTTTCTCTTTTGTCAATATCTCAAAATTAAAACTATTATCTGATTCAAAACAAAAGACGAGCTGTCATTTTTTGAATAACTTTCGATAGGAACAAGATAGAGACTTGCGATTTTCACCATTCGAAAGAAAGATGTCCAAGCTTTCGATCCCTATAAAACTCATTAAGGTCCAAGATGTTTTTTTAAATAGATAAATCCATTTCGAATGAAAGTTTGAAGGAAAATGAAATATCTGATAGTTTCATAGCGGAGAAAGGATAATTTAAGTTGAGATTATTGTGAAAATACGCAAAGAGAAAAGTGATCATCCAAAGTAATCTATTAAAAAAAGTATCTTTGACCTTAATGAGTTTAATAGAGATCGAAAGCTTGGACATCGCTTTTTCGAACGGTGAAAATTACAAGTCTCTATTTTGTTCCTATCGAAAGTTATTCAAAAAATGACAACTCGTCTTTTCTTTTAAATCAAACAATAGTTTAAATTTTGAGCTATTGATAAAAGAAAAAATTATTATACTTCTTGATTGGTTTTGTTATCCATTACGAAATAATTGTAGGGATAATAAAGTTTCCTTAAGCATCTTATTAGAAAGTATGTCCAATATTGAACTGATTGGTTGGATTTTCTTCTTCAAACTAATGAATCCTATGAAGATATCGAATCATTGAAGGAAGTTCATCATCTTTGCAGTGAATAACAATGTATGAAAAATTCTGAGTAGTAATATATATATATATATTAGCTCACGTATTTAACATGTTTTCACGCGTTTTTGATACATTACCGCGTGAAGAATCATTAAAAATTTAATGATTTAATGGAAAAAGATATTATCTTTTTGATCATGAAAACGCATTAATTCTGCGTACTTTTAACAAGTTCTCACGTCACAAAGTTTCATTAAATTGGCAAATATTTTTATATCGTTCTCATTGCCTTTCTTTGTAAACAACTAATGTAATAAATTACTATGAACTTGGAAAGAAAAAGATGCTATATGTCTGCTGACTATTACGCCTGTCAGATGACTCTTCTCTGCGCAGGATGCAAAAAAACATCACGTTGATAAGTACAATGTTCCCATGTCGATAAGTACAGTTTTACACATTCTTACTCGAGTACGAAGGAAGAAAAGATAAAACAATTACCATGACGACAATGATATATAATATTGACTTTTTGTCTTCTCATTCAGCAAATGTACAAGCTACAACACGTTACACAGTTCAACCAATATTAAACCCGAAAATAAGCAAAAAACAGATGAATTTGGAATCATTATCCAACGAATTATTCCTCGATCTATTTGAGTATTTGTCCATTGCACATCTTCTTCGAGCATTCCATGATCTTAATGCTCGTTTTGATACACTTCTCATCACTCATTTCCGAATCATTGGTCATCTAGACTTTCGATATGTATACAAAGAAGATTTTGACATTATGTGTTATCAATATCTTCCATCAATGATCAGTCGAATTCGTTCAATTAGACTCTCAAATGATAATGATACTCCAGAACAGATCAACTTATTTCTCTCACATAATTTTGTTCTTCATCAATTTACACAATTATCTTCACTTTCATTATATCATTTATATTCGAACGAGACAATCAATCGAATAATAGATCAGATACATGATGTTCCTCATCTGACCTGTCTCAAATTAATCGAATGTCGATTTGAAAATGATCCGACACCATGTGAGAAAATCACTAACGCCATTTGGAATCTACCGAAATTGATCCATTGTCATTTGAATATTATTAGTCCAGACTTCAAAGAATCATTTTCTAATTTAACAGTCACCTCATCATCACTCCAACATTTATCTATTGAACAGTTCGGATGCGATGTGGACGTATTATATAATTTATTTCAACATACACCTAATCTTCAATCTCTTGGATTTCTTCGTATGAACAATATCGATGTCGATCCTACCAGTCAACACCAATCATTTCCTGTCCCATCGATAATGACATTGAAGCTGGATATCGAATTCTCGGTATATACATTTTCAAATCTCTTATCAAATATATCAAATCTAAAGCATTTAACTATCAAGATATCGACAATAGATTTGAATGGTCAACGATGGGAACAGATTATTACTGATCAATTACGTAATCTTCAAGTCTTTCAAATGGAAATGCATGGTCGACTCTCTTTGGATGGTACTAACGTAGAAATGCGCGAACAATTGATCGATTCATTTCGAACTCCATTCTGGATTGAACAACATCAATGGTTCATTCGATGTCATTGGGAACCGATAATCGAATTTCGTAATATTTGGCTCTATACTTTACCATATGCTTTTGACGATTTTGATATACAAGACAAACCATCGAAATCCACTTGTCCTCGTGAAAGCGATTATTGCTCTTACGATCGTGTACGGCATTTAATCTACCAGTTTCCTATGATTAAAGAACCATCTACGCATCGAATTCGTTGTCCTAATATTAATCGTCTGTCTCTCGATCTTCCTATCACCGATACTTTTTGGTCTGTCATTCCAACATTTGATCAGGTGATCTCAATGAATCTCTCACTGAAACAAGATGATGATATTGTTCGATCTCAGTTACAAAGCATGTTCGATCAAACACCTCGTTTGTATTCGTTGAAACTCGATTTATGGCGAAATTCAAACATGAAAATCATCGAAAATCTTAATGTATCAGTCCATCGACTTAAGATACGAGGAACCACCTCTTCGTTTGAAATACGATGGTTCAATGATGAAGAGTGCACTTCTCTATGTCATTCACCACTTGGAATGCAATG